GTGACAGTCAGGTGGTAGTGAAGAAGTTGGTGGTCCAGTCGTGTTATGATATCGTGTGCTAGACATTTTAATGTCAGCTATATGGCGGTATAATGACCACCAGCTTCATATAACCCATTATAACAGCCGTACAGGTGTCGTAGTGGTGGTGTTTAATGTCAGTCACATTTTGATTCTGTGAGGGGAGATGAACAGCTTCTGGTTTTGAGTCAAAGATTGTATACTAAAACAACTCTACACTGAGTTGTTTTCCCACCCACAGGCTTGGTGTTAACCTATTGTCCTATTGTGGTTATAGCACAAAGATAAGTCAAACTTTCACAATATCACTTCCATCTAAAGCCAGTCAGTTAACATTGCTGTTTGTGGAAACAGCCCGCCCGCCTGCCACAGCAGTCTGTTGTTAAGGCCATTCATGGGAAGCTTCTTGAATGTTACAGTCACAGTTACTTTATTGACAGTCAGCCTGTGTTACCTGTGTGACAACATACAGCCAGGAGAATATACGTACTGAGTGGAAGTGCTCACAATGTGTTGTTTACATATGGAAGCTGCAGTTTGTGGTGCTGTTGAATTGTGTTGAGTTGCATTTCTTCTTTGTGCTCCTCATTTTTACGAGTGCTGGTAGGTTAAAGATTAGAAACACCTCTCAGTGTAACGCAACACAATTCAACAGCAGCACACAGCCTCCAAAATGACCATGAAGTTGAATCAACACCTCTCTCACAGCCCTCATGAGGGTAGGATTTTTTTGTCGAGCTGTTGAATCAGAGTGCTTTTGTTTTTAGCTCTGTGTACCTAATAAACAGTCAACTGTAAACATGTTAGTTACTGTGTGTATATACTACATATTTACATTTATATTTTCATTGTAGGACTACACCTGTCCACGCTGTGAATCTGGCTTTATTGAGGAACTTACTGAGGAAAGAAGGTATGGAGGATTTTTGTGTCTCTCATGAATTTGGTCACTTTGATGTTTAAGAGGATTTCTGAGTCTCAGCTTTACTTCTGTGTCTGTGCAGTACGGAAAATGGGTCTGCATCCACGTCCTCCACCAGTGACCAGAACCGCCCATCCTTTGAGGTCAGTGTGACTTGTTAAATCATCTGGTCCAGGAGAACAATTTTCACTCTGCAACATGATTTGACATTGCCTCTGTCCTTTCTACTAGAACATGGATCACCAGCATTTATTCACATTTCCCTCTGGGTACGGTCCGTTTGCTCTTGGGATTTTTGATGAAAACTTCGACCTTCGAACGCGGCTACCCACAGAGGACAACCGGGAGACAGAAAACAGGAGGGAGCGGGAAATGGCATCACGGCAACGATACAGTGCGCGGCAACCACGGGGGCGACATGTTCCTCGAAGACAGGGTACGCGCCATGAAGGAGTGCCCACATTAGAGGGGTGAGACATTTTCAGCAGTAGAGTGTATGTGGGAGTTTGTTGTGGGACACAAGAGGATACGGGTAAGGAATTAGCTTCTTTGGTGTGAGTAATACTTGCTTCACATGTTATGGTAGAAAATACTTAATGTCATTTCCGGTTTTATATAGAATATGGTGACATGATACATCTAAACCAGGGCTCTCAGACCTTTTTGAGAGTGAGGGATACCTGAATGGAGAAGACTCGTGGGAGGGCTACTCTGTATACTTAAGGAACATCCATGTTAAATTGATGCTTTCCATAATATAACATAGTGGCATGTATGTTCACCTTTTAGGCATTTTTGTATACAGGGTTGAACCAACTTGATTTGGAAGTTATTTTTTCTCTGGTCATGTTATTAACACTGAAATCTTCTCATGTTTACTGAGAGTGAATTTACTCAGCTGACCTAATAAAGGTGAACCACATGTTGTGCAAGTGTAACTCAGAGAAAGTCGGCGAGGGCGAAGGCCATTTGGGCCACAGAGAATGCCGAAGGGCAGAATATGGAAACATGATTTCAACTCTGAACATATAATCTAAATACCATTAAATATAACATACAATCTGGCACCACGTTGAAGACACAAACACACGTAACAGATCCAGTAAAGATAAAGATCTGTAATGCCTCTTATCAAAAGCCTCTTACACCTTTCAAAAAGTATAAAGACAAAATATCCTGTATTACCATTTTAATTGTGCTATTCCTATAAATACCAAACAGCATTCAGATAGCACGCAGATATCTGGTATTACTGTGTGTATTAAGTATTAATACAATTGTTTGACCATGAAATTGTTAATATGTATAGATGAGGTAAGAAGACAAGTTGAATTTCTCAGTTTGATTCAATAAATGTTTAATGAAAGTGTTTTTTTTTTGTGATGTTTTTTCCGGATACAGAATTATACAGCAGCTAGTAAATGGAATCATAGCACCTACAGCCATGCCAAATATTGGGATGGGACCATGGTAAGTGTAAGAAACTGTGTGTTTACTTGTTTCATATCTACAATCAAGTTTACTGTGTTAACTCTCTAACCTTCTTGTCTTGCAGGGGCATGCTACATTCCAATCCAATGGACTACGCCTGGGGTGCCAATGGTCTTGATGCAATAATTACACAGGTATAAAAAGTGTTCTTTTGTTACATGACAGTGGAAATATAACTGCACATCAATTAGGTGGCTACAGTGTGCCACAAACCTTTTATATATTATATATATTTAGAATTGATAATATATTTTAATAGTGGTATAATTTGTTTTCTAGCAATATAATGATACTTTAAACAAACAGCTCTTTTTTGACGGAGTGCACCTCAGTAAATCACACTTACTGAAGGATTCGGCCTTTAAATCAGACGCATAGTTTAGCTAGATATTGGAAGATGATGTATAGAAGTTGTACTTTTACAGAACGACCTTGTTCCCATGCAGATGATCTCTCAGCCATTTATTGAGATTCTTCTCTTTTTCACATGTAGTTATTGAACCAGTTTGAAAACACGGGTCCCCCTCCTGCTGACAGAGAAAGGATAAAGAGTTTACCCACAATCTCCATTACAGAGGAACATGTGGGTAAGTTTGTGTCTCTCTCTCTGACTCTTACTCTCTAACTTACAGTTACTCAATCACATACACCCGACTATCACAATATTTTGTTTCGTGATATTGTATCAATTCTCAAAAACACTTATCAGTTTTTGTGTTTAAACCCCCAACTGCTACATAGCAGTGTTGTAAACTGAGGGCATTGATGTTGGATGTTACAGGAACCTTGATATTATATACATATATGCAGACCCCACTGTAACAAAGTAAACTTTTCTTAAACTCACTTGTATGCATATAGTGTGTATATGCATGGTGTGTTCTTTATACTATGACAGTTTTCCTAAAATGTGATTAAACAAATAAATAATTGAACCCCTGTATTGTGATACGTATCGCATCACCAGATTTTTGCCAATACGCAACCCTACTCACTCAGTGTTTGTTGACATTTAGGTATCTGTCAGAGCAGAAAAGTTCTCTATTTGATCAGTGTTGTTCTTTGTACTGACTTCATACAGACATATGCATTCCCAGCACACCTCATACAATATAAATCCTTTGCATAAGTCAATTCAGGGACAGTATTTTCTCTATCACAGGTAGACAACTGACAATAATCACCCTCTGAAAATGTCTTTTACATGCATATGTACTTCTATTTGAACTTTTAAACTTTTCATGTTGTTGGTGTTGGTGGTGGTGAAGTGAAGAGCTTGAATTGAACCTTACATTTCACAACACCGCCTCAACTCAAATATAAATAATCTGTGTGACCACAATTTTCCATGCAGCTGATGCATGTGGCCGCGGTTCTCTCGCACACAGACACACAGACCGTATGTCGCTTTCTGTTTGT